ACTAATTCTACCGCTCCTAGTAGTACGAAAAGGGTCCTAGGGGTTAGTCGAAATATATTAAGATATAGACGTAGTATATACTCTAGTAGTAATAAAGTTAATAGATCCTGTGACCTTAATAACCCTTAAGGCTTACGTGGCTTAGGTGGCCTAATTACTCTGACTAGTCTGCTACTTCTATACTTGCTTAACTATATACTTAATTATAAGCCTATTAGTCTTATTAGTCTTATAAGGGAGGGTAGCAGGCTAGAAGGTCTTAATATAGAGGTCTACGAGCTCCTTAAATCGGCTATAGAGCTTAGTAGCCAGCTAATACAGTATAAGACATCGGTATAGCTAGTACTTATTAACTCGTAGCTTACTCTTTAGGTAGGCTACCTAGGTATTAGTCTAATCTATAACTAAATACGCGGGGAACTCCTACTTAACTAGGTTATAGGCGCTATCGTGGATTAGGATAGGGTAGTTATCTCTCTGATACCCTTCTTAGCCGTAGTAGTAGTAGCGTGCTAGCGGGGGCTCGCTATTATTCTAGGCACCTCTCTACTATCCTAGGCGGTTATCGTGTTACTAGGTCGGGCGGCTATTATTACGCCGGTTATTATATCTAGGGCGGGGTCCTCCGTAGTAGATCTCCTCGGTGTATTAGGCGTTATTGGGCTAGGAAGCGGTACCATTAGCCTGATTAGGGGTGGCGAAGTACACTAAAATAGTTATCGTAGGCTAAGGGGCGTGCTTAAGGACGGTATAAAAGGCGTTTTTTAGATTAGATTTCGTGGCGAGGAGGGCTTAGACTTTCTCCGTACCTATCCTTTTAGATAGGGCGAGTACTTAGGCAGTAGTGCCCCTAACGCCTTTAGCTCTATTATAGATAAGAGAAATAGTATACTTTTTAAGGAGGTTAGCGAGCTTATCTATATCCGATTAAGAGGCTATAGACTCCTAGACTATAGTAGGCTGCCTTAAGATCGTGGGCTGGAAAGCGGTATTATTAGGCTGATTAGACTTAGCTATACCTAGTATAGCGTCCTTATCTATAGGCTTACCCTCTACTTCCTAGATATCCGTAGACTACTCGCGTAGTAGGTCTAAAAGCAGCTTATAGCTCTTAACTATCTTTCTTAAGTCGGTGCCTCGAATCTTAAGCTTATTAGCGATAAATATATAGATATCCCTATATAGAATAGTAAGGACGATACCGTAGAGCTCGGAGTCCTTAATAAAAGTGCCTTAGACCCGCTCTACCTTAGCCTTCTAGATAGTGATTTACTGTAGTAAGTCCCTGACCTGACGAACGCTATTAATCTTATACGTCTTATATTTTACTCGAAGCTAATAAACCTCGTAAGAGAAGTTAAGTTAGTAGTTAGGATCTAGATAAGAGACTTCTTTAACGATCTTCATAACTAGATTAGACTAATTACCTTTAGCGGTTTAAACCTCTCTAACTAAGCGTTTAATAGCAGGACGAATAACCGTATCCGTGTATAGGTTAACGTAGGTGATCTTATCGGCTTTACTAAGGCGGTTAAGCTTAGTATAGTTATCGTACTACTAAAAGAATATAGAGAGGGACTTACCACTAAAGCGGGGAGCTTTAGTAGCGAGGGGATTTAGGGGTGCTCTCGACGTAGTAGTGGCGGGGGGCAGGGCTTTAACGACCTCGGCGATAGTGCTCCCTCGGTCACGGCTTATCAGGGCTTATTGCAGCTTAATTAGGTCTTTAGTAGTAGTAGGGGAAGCGTTTAAAGCAGGTTAGACAGTAAAGGCAGGCTAGCCAGGGGTAGTATTAGGGGTAGTTATCGAAATAGTAGCCGGAGCCGTGGCAGATATAGTAGTCGGCCTAGAAGCGGGCGGAGGTAAGGCCGTAGCCCTAATATCGTGGTTCCCCTAATTAGGGGCAGCAGAAATAGCAGGCGTACGAATAGGGGGAATAGCCGGCGAGGGAGCCTTATCGTCGGAGTCACTAATAACGATAATAGGGGTAGGCTCGCGATACTAAATCTAAGTATCTATAGTGCTTTAGGTATAAGTATAAGGGGGTAGGCGAATCATAATAATAGGGTTAGGGCGCTTAGGGTATTTAGGGAAAGGTTCTTCGAACTAATCGTCTAGCGAGAAGATCCTATAGGTGTTCTAGATACTAGCCAGGTTATTATATATATTATCTCGTCTTAAAAAGAGTGATAAGGTCTTTAACGAGAGGGCGGTCCTAGGTTTTACTCCTTAATACTTATCTTCGGGGTCTAGCTTTTCTAACTTACCTCGAAGGAAGAGGCCCCCCACGATTAGGAGATTACCTATTAGTAAAAAGACTATACTCACGGATATTAATATTAAAAGCACTACCCGCTAAACCTTACAAAGAAGTATTATAACCTGCTTACGGGGTCTATAAAGGTCCTTACTAGACTATCGGGTCCTTTTATAAGGTATCGTTATTTCGCTCCTACGCTTGGTATTAGCTTTTTATTAGATCTGCTAGGGTTTAGTACCCTAATCCGGGTAAGCTGCTCTCGGCGGTCTTATCTTTTCTTTACCATCGTGCGAGGGTCTAGCTTAGTTAGTGGTGGGGGTTATAAGCGCCCTATCGAGTTTATTCTATATCCAGAATCTAACTCTATCGCGATCTAATCGGTTTCCTCCGCTATAATTACTACCTCTATAGCGACGGGTCTTATAATTAAAAGTGTTAATAGTTCTTTAACTCTTACCTAAGTAGTTATTTCTTTTCCTGATCTTATTAGGGCTAATCTCCCCTCGGTCTTAAAGCGTTAAATCCTTCCTTAGTCGTTATCTTTATATTCTTTTTAGGGTTATTAACTAATAGTCCGTTTAGGAGGGCCGGAACCTCCCTTAAGCGCCTTTATTACTCTAATCAGGATTAGAACACTTTAGGGACGCCGAATAAATCCGCCTCCAAGCACTATATTATAACTAGATAAAGACTTAGTAGCACTAGATCGTTAAGATAAAGATTAGATAAAGTGGTTAGTCTAGCGAAACCATAATATATAACTAAAATATAACTAATACCGCTATAACCTTTAGCGAAGAAGTAGATCGGTAGTTATTATTCTGATTAGGGTAACGTAAGTTAAACTGGAAAGATACCTTAAATGTAGAATAAGTAATTATAAAAGAGGATAATAATTATATCTTAATCCCTCGATAGGGATATCCCGAGCCTGTCCTTAATATATATATGGGCAGCGGATCTAGCGGCCTTAAAAGGGGGGTGATATAACTGTCTGCCGAACCACTCTAACGCTGTATCTGCGCGGTTACACTAGTTATATTAAGTAAAGGAATAAGGGTAAATACTCGTAACGTACGTTACGAGCGCGGAAATAGTGGTAGACGGATTAACGAAGGCGCTATACGGCGAGAAATTTAAGATATTTAGGTCCTAGGTGGGCGTGATAGATATACGGGAACGGTTATAGCAGAAATAGCTAGAGGAAGTCCGGATAGAATATTTAGAAGACCTAAAGGACAAATTTAAGGGCGGCTATAGCGAATAGATTATATAGCTAGATTATCTGCCGATTACGAATAGCTTTAATCGCCTAACTAACGTTTAGGGCGATTAGGGGGTGTGTCGAATAGACTATAGTCTTTTTGGTTATATAATAGGCCGGATTACTAAGAGTATAATCCGGGTAGACGCTTATAGAATCTGCACTATATCAAATACGGTGGTAGCGTTTCCCTAACGGTCTAAGACAGTTATAATAGTATATAATTGCCTTAATTAATTTTGACCTGTTTTATGACGATTTTGGCTACGCTTTATCTAACAGGTCCTGCCAGGTTCGAGCTCATGGTCCGACGAGATAGGAATAAAATAATAAGGTACGTACGTACCTACGAGGCTATAATTGATGCTAAAGGTACCTACGGTACCTAGGTAATAACCTCACATTACAATCGTACCTACTCTCTCGCGTATTACTCATCAATATAATCTGGAACTCTCAAGACCAATCAATGATGGTCGAGCCTACCCAAAGAAAAAGCAGGTACGGAGTATTTGTCCACCATCAAGTACTCGGTACCTTTAGTAACGTTTCTATCGCCTCCGTTTTCTCGCTGGTATTCCTTGTACGTGTACTCCGTATGATCCTCACTGCCTTCAAGGTACTTTGGAGAAGGAGCATCCATAGCTTTGAAAAGTACGGAGTACTCCGTATGTACCAGTCCCTCGTACCTGCTCCAGCAGTAGTGCCTAAGATTTGTCCCCACATCTTCAGTCGAGCCTTGGTGGTGCTGTTGCTCCAGCACAACGCGGGACCCCGTGCATAGCCCAAGTAACCCTTGCTTCCCTTGCTTGCAGCAAGCCCACACACTCTTTCCCCATCTCCTTCCTGTCTACCTTAGCTACCGCAGCCAGCCAGCCAGCCTTGCCAGCATCTCGTGCTCCTCGGCTCATCTCCCCAAGCTGCATCAACGGATACTCATTCCCCCTCCCGATCCCATCAACCCCCATCATCACACAACAACGTCTCTCTCGAATCAACGTCCTGCCCCGTCAGCCCACCGGCTTTGCTTTGCCCCGCGGAGCAGAGCAAGCTATTGGGAAGACGTCAACACACTTCCTCACCAAGGTAGGAGGAGGTAAACGCCCTCGTTCACGGCCGGCGATCCGAGCACGTGGAGGACTTTGAGGCCGGTTTGGGTCTGGGACTCACATTACGTTTCGTCACCATTTGTCGCCGAGCTTCATCTCTTTCATCTCGTCCGACTCTCCACTCTCCCTCCCACCGTGTCAGCTTTCCATCCGCGGCGTGACTCGCATTCCATCGACCAACCAGCTGCCCAGCTGCCTCCGAGCCAACAACACCCGGAACACAAACACCAAACACGCCTTGCTTTGTCTTCAGCCAGCCACCGCCGTAGCTTCGGCTCGCCACGATCATTGATCTCCTTACCTGACCGGATTTCGGCTTTTTCCTTCCGGTTTTATTAAAGCTCGCCATCGCCGTCTTTCCCCAGCAATGGGAGTCTGTAATAGCTCGTGCTGCGGAGGTGCGTCCCAACCAGAGCTCTCCGTCACATCTTGCTTGCCTCGGGCATACTTGCTAATTCTTGTCCGTGATGCAGGTCGCTCCCGTGACGGCCTCTACGAACCTGTACTCGCCGACAGCGAAAGGGAGGCTGTCGCCGACCTTCTGCAATACCTTGAGAATGTGCGTTCATTCCCAACACGACACATACCCAACCCAAGCTCCTTTCTCTTCCAACGTTTCGCGGCCTCCCCATCCTTTCTCGCCCTACGCTTCTCAGCCCCGTCACTGACTTCCATCTAGCGAGGGGAGACTGATTTCTTCTCCGGCGAACCACTGCGCGCCCTGAGTACCCTCGTCTTTTCCGAGAACATCGACCTACAACGCAGTGCCAGTCTCACATTTGCCGAGATCACCGAACGCGGTATGTGGGACAGCCCAACCTGCCGACTAGCATTTGCCTGCTCGCCATGGATCTGCAGTAAACTGACGATATCTTCATAGATGTGCGAGAAGTCCACCGGGATACCCTCGAACCGATATTGTTCCTCCTACAGAGCTCCGACATTGAAGTGCAAAGAGCCGCCAGTGCAGCACTCGGAAACCTGGCTGTCAATAGTTTGTCTCACCGGACAACCCCCCCTCGTTTTTTTTTCTTCTTTTTTTCTTTTGAATAATGGCTAACCTGAGCGGAAACGACGTAGCCGAGAACAAGGTCCTCATCGTTCAAATGGGCGGTCTCCAGCCATTGATCCGACAAATGCTCTCTCCCAATGTCGAAGTGCAGTGCAACGCCGTCGGCTGCATCACCAACCTGGCCACACATGAGGAGAATAAAGCAAGGATTGCACAGTCGGGTGCTCTCGGTCCCTTGACGAGACTGGCCAAGTCGAAGGATATGCGTGTCCAGCGCAATGCTACTGGTGCTTTGCTGAATATGACACACTCGGGTACTGTTCTACTGTTCCAACCGATTCCCTAGTTTACCTACCCACGCCCTTTCAACCCTGCTTTTCTGTCCGTGTAGTGAGGAGAGCGCCTGCTAACCGGGCACAGACGAGAACCGAAAACAGCTCGTCAACGCGGGCGCCATTCCGGTCCTGGTCCAGCTTCTGTCCTCGCCCGATGTCGACGTGCAGTACTACTGCACGACGGCCCTTAGCAACATTGCGGTTGACGCTAACAACAGGCGGAAGCTTGCGCAGACCGAGACCAAGCTCGTCGCCTCGCTCGTCGCTCTCATGGATTCATCCTCCCCCAAGGTGCAGTGCCAAGCCGCTCTGGCTCTCCGAAACCTGGCCTCGGACGAAAAGTATCAGCTCGACATCGTCCGTTCCAACGGCCTGGCGCCCCTGCTCCGTCTGCTGCAGTCGTCCTATCTACCCCTCATCCTGTCCGCCGTCGCCTGCATCCGCAACATCTCCATCCATCCTATGAACGAATCGCCCATCATCGAAGCCGGCTTCTTGAAGCCTCTGGTGGATCTTCTCGGCTCCACGGACAACGAAGAAATCCAGTGCCATGCCATTTCCACCCTGCGCAATCTCGCTGCGAGTTCCGACCGCAACAAGGCGCTCGTCCTCGACGCCGGCGCCGTGCAGAAGTGCAAGCAGCTGGTTCTCGACGTCCCCGTGACGGTGCAGTCCGAGATGACGGCGGCGATCGCCGTGCTTGCTCTCAGCGACGAGCTCAAATCGCATCTTCTCAATCTCGGCGTTTTTGAAGTCCTCATTCCTCTCACCGATTCGCCCAGCATCGAGGTTCAGGGCAACAGCGCCGCGGCCCTGGGCAACCTGTCTTCGAAAGGTTCGTTTGTTTTTCTCCTTTTCTCGTCATGTTTGGGCTTCAATTTACGACATTTGTCCTATGTTTGTACTAACACAAAGATCTTATGGCTAGTTGGCGATTACTCGGTCTTCGTACAGGATTGGAAGTCTCCGAACGGTGGCATTCATGGGTACCTGATCAGGTTCCTGAGGAGCGGCGACGCGACGTTCCAACATATCGCCATATGGACGCTGCTCCAGCTGCTCGAGTCAGAAGACAAGAGCCTCATCCAACTGATTGGGCAGGCGGAGGACATTGTCGACCAGATCAAGGCAATTGCGAACCGTCCGGTCGAACCGGACAACGAGTTTGAGGACGACGATGAGGGTGAGGTGGTAAGCCTTGCACAACGGTGCCTAGAACTCCTGGGACAGGGCACGAGCAAGACGCACATCGAAGGCTGATGTCTATCTGAGGCCGACTTGTTCCTTCCTTTCCCTTGTCCTCTTCCATCTCTCCCTCTGTTCTTTTTCTCTCCCTCTCTGTCTCTCTCCTTCTCTCTTCATATTTCCTTTGTATTCGTTTGGTGGAATATCTTTGGGAGGCATATCAGCACGGCAAAGGCGCCAAAGAGGAGGACGGAAGGAGTTTGTGGAGTACAATTTTCGAGGCACACATACACCAGACTGGCCATGTTGTTATTTTCACTTTTCGGTGTAGGTCATGCCGCTTGTCGGCGTCCGAGGTGAGCGAGCAGCTGTGGTGGTGATGTTTGAAAGGCTGTGGGGTTCAGACCCGCCATAGAAAAGGGCTCTCCCCGGTGCCACAGCTGTGTTTTTGCGTGGTAGTGGAACGTGAGAAGTCCGGGGGGGAAGTCCGGGGGGGAAGTCCGGGGTGGGCTGTTCTACTTCTATCATGCATTATGACCATGGTTAGGGTCGGCATCTTTTTTCCCATCCCTACAGGGTTTTACTATTTTTCCTTTGGTCGTCATTGATTCCCACTGGCTCACAGAGAATGCTGAGCTCTATGCCATTGTAATCAGAACAGAGTGGTGGAGAAGAAGTCACTGGTATTACACTTAGTACTTGTTACAGGTTATGCCGCCGTTTGTCTACCTACCTAGGTATCGTGGGGGGCCAAAGTGATATGACGGTTGATTCGTAGTGTACATGATATAGTAATACAATATGCAATGACGGCAGCCCTCGGTTTAGTGGATCTCTCAGAAATGGTAGTCTTTGAGAAGGCCGGTATTGCTGCAGTCGTCTCGTGGGGTTTGCCATCATCAAGATGATAAAGCCACGCTGTCATTCTCCGAGCTCTTGGAGTCCTCCAAGCCATTGCGAATCCAATGCGCCTCCTGCGGGGGCCAGATTTTAGCTAAAACTTTACCCCTGACGAGAGCGAGGGGAAGGGGGCCGAAGACTCTAGAATCCCGCGACGATTCGAGGTTGTCGCCTGTTATCCAGCAGTGGCCTTGGGGTACCTGGCGCGGCGGGCGACGCATCCGGTTGTAAGTAAGTCGAGTTTTAAGCCGAGCTGGCAAAGTAAATAGGGGGGAAGGGGGGGTGAATGTAGAGAGGGGGGACAAGCGGGAAAAGGAACAAGGAAAAATATAATAAAATATAAGAAGAAGAAAGAAAAGTAAAAACCCACCTGAATCATAACCTGCGAACCCGTATCCGGGTCGCCATGGAGGACGTAATCGCCCGGCAGGCCCATGATGCGCTTGACGCCCTGGGCGCGGCGGAAGATGGGAATGTCGTAGAAGACGAGGTCGCCGACGTGGAGGTCGCGGCCGCGGCGGTAGTACTTGGACACGAGGAGATAGTCGCCGTAGACGGAAAAGGTGGGGAGCATGGAGCTCCCCGCGGCGCCGCCGAAGGAGATGCCGTGCTCCCAGAGGAGGTGGCAGGCGACGATGGCCTTGAGGGTGCCGAGGGAGACAAAGAGGGGCGCGGAGGCGGTGCCGCGGTGGCGCTGGAAGTAGGTGCGGGCCCACCCGAAAGTGGCGTTGAAGAGGCGGCCTCGGGCCATTTGGTGAGGTTGGGCGCCTTGAGGCGGGTTACATAGTATGTCTTGTTCTCGGTCCGGGGTGGTGGGTGAGGTTTAGGGTGGTGGTGGTTCAGTTGAGGCGTGGGATGAAAGATGAGAGTGACAAATACGAAGTAATTAATAATGGGTGCGGTACGGTAAGGCAAGGAAGGTACTTACGAACAGTACATGGCCGAGTACGGGTACTAAGGTACTGCACTGAGGCCACTTTGGATTAGATAACGCCGAGGAGCTTAGACCAATTCAACTGCACCGGGAGCTCACATAGCCTTTGAGGCTTGTGATAGGTGGATTCAAAGTCAGCTGTGATCCACTCTCGACTACAAATCTTTTGACTGTCGGCAAATGGTGATGACTTCGTCGAGACGTCTTTGAGGACGCAATCGAACAGGAAAAGGGAACACTCCGTACATTTTCGCATTTTCGTCCATTATTGGCCGCCGATGGCCAGCATCACGCAGCGTCATCATGAAACCCTCGCAATGCCTCTTCAACAGCCACGTCGCCCTGTACAGGGTCTTCGTCGCTCCCTTCCAATCCTTCGAGACGACGACTAGGCTAGGCCTCCCTCGAAGAGGCTTCGTACTCGCCTCGAGTCCATCCTTCCGAAACCATATTGTCAGCCCGTCAGCACCATGGGGGCCCCTTTCAGCTGCCGCCACAGTGGGCATGGGCACGCCATTCCGACCCTTCTCTCCGTCCTCCCGCAGCATACACACGACCGTGCCACGTCCCGCGCCACCCCGCGGCAGTGCACAACCCGACCGACTCCCGATCGACCTCGAAATCCGGGACAGACGAATCATGCTCATGGACGACCGCAACAACGTCACCGGGCCCTTCGCCACGGCGCAGATCCTGCGGCGGATGGACCACAAGACCGAAATGCTCAAGATGATCACCGCGGCCGCGAAACCCGCGGAGAAGAAACCCGGCAGCGGCAGCAGCAACCCCCCGGGCAACACGGGCGAGGAAGGCAAGGACAACAGGAAGCCGGCGGGCCCGCCCATCGCGGTCTGCAAGATCGTCGACCGGGCGGAGGAGAGGCGGCGGGACGCGCAGCGGGAGAAGGAGCGCAAGGCGAAGGCGAGGCAGGCGGCCAAGTCGAAGCAGAAGGAGGTGGAGGTCGGGTGGGCTATCGCGGCGCATGACCTGGACATCAAGCTTGGGCGGGCCCGCGGGTTCTTGGAGAAGGGGCACAAGGTGGACCTCGTGGTGGCAAGGAAGAAGGGGGCCCGGGCCGCGGAGAGGGCCGAGATGGAGGAGTTGGTGAAGAACGTGCGTGAGATGGTGGCGGCCATTCCCGGGGTGAAGGAGCGGAAGGCATCTGAGGGGGAGTTGGGGAAGACGATGCGGTTTTATTTCGAGGGGCAGGTCCCTAAGGAGTGATTTCTATTGTAGATTCGACGAAAGAAAGATAAGATGGATAGACGGAATGTACTCTACTGTATTATATGTTCATCCCCGTTGTTTCTGCACAATTGTTCGTGATCTAGGCCACAGTCGTTTGGGGTATGTGATCGAGTGGCCAGGGCATATCTATTCATTCACTCTTCCGGGTGTCATTCTCGGCGAGAAGAAAGGATTCAGCCATCTTCCACCATATGGCCCTGGTTAGTAGCTATAGAAGACCTCCAAGATACCTAGTTTTGCGCCGGATTTGATTGTGCAAGATACGTCGAGACATGTTGGTGTCAGAGAGAGGGAGAAGATACTCGAGAACAACATCGAGAAGGACAACTACAAGTCAAACAAATGAGCATTACCTTGTATACAGTGTACGTACGGGAGTCGAGGTGCACATTCTGCACATCTCGGTAGCTAGCAATATGGGGTTGCTGAATACTGACTGTGGTCCGTGGACTTGGTTGATCCCGTTGACGAAACAGATACACGTACCCTCCGGGGCTACATATACGTGCTTCTTTGATAGACAATGAGACGCTGGGAGTACAACCATAACCACGTGCACCTTGTGGACATGATCGTTCTCAGATTTACAAAGCACGTCCCTGAATACAGACGCAAGAGTCGTAGACACCGAGTCCCTAGATTATGGCTGAGCAATACGATTCTACGAAGCCAGTGAAACCGTGAGCCACACCATGTATGAATTATATGGATGTTGATCACGGGCCACCATCAAGTCTGGTCTTTCCACTAGGTGTCTTAGTTGGCTACAGTCAGAAGGTACGCTTGAGGCCGAGGGCCGTTGCCATTACTGATTCATTGTCTCTTACTCTTAGAACTACATAGGCTGCTAGACGGGAAAGGTATCTCGACAAGCTGGCCAAGGCTAACAACTCTTAGACACCATACTATTACAACAAGAGATCCAAGTCAAAAGTCCATAACCAATTAGAAGCAGCACCGACTGCCTTAAGGAACTGAGGGGGGGGGTGACCGGTACGCCATATCGTCCCGTCGTTGACCAGAACCTGGTCTAAACGAGAAGGTAATTCCGAGCACGAGAAACCCTCCTAAAAAGATATAGTAGCCCCTGAGAGCCAGAATCGAAAGGCCGATGTTGCGCTTATAAGGGCCAAGGGGCTGCACGCCTTCAGGAACAGGTTGCTCGTAATCCTGGCCTTGGGTCTCCGTGACTTGTAACCCAGGGGCTCCCACGGTTTTATTCTTCACCGCTGTTGTCGTTAATGTCACCGTCGGGCAAAAGACGCGGGCACGGAAGACGCGCACGCCAGGACGCCTATGTCGGATGTGGCGCTGAAGGGGATGTGTTCAATGTTGGAGAGATCGATATGTGCGCCCAGGAGTCGTCGTACCTCGGCCATGCGAACCCACTCTTTCAATCTGCTGCTGAATTTCAAGGCGCTCCGGCGGTATGTTTCTTCATCATAGGTGCGCATGCAGAGTTCGCGCTCGGTCGTTTCGTAGTAGACTTCCTCTCCATCTGAGAAAACGGCCGCCCAGGGCCTGGCCGACCAGGGGAGGTACAGCCCGTCGATGCGGTCGATCAGCCAGGTTTTGATTGGTATCCCACATACCTCCGCCAGGTAGACGGCGCGAGCCACACGTCCTCGCGGAGAGGGCTCATTCATTAAACGATACAAATTCAGGGGACAGGAGTTCATCCAATCTGGGTGGTACTCCAAGACGATGTGTTGGGGTATCTGGAGAAACCCGTTCGTTGGGTCATTTGGGTTCCCTGGCGGTAGAAAAGGAGGGATGGGATGGTCGGTCAAGGTCCAGGAGGTTGCGAAATGCCGGGGGTGACATCCTGTCATGATGGCCAAGTTGGATGCATAGGAGGCCACCGCGCGGGTGTCGCCTGATGTAGAAGAGCTCCCCATTGTCGTAGCGGAGCAGCTCGTTCCTGGCCAGGTAGCCCACCAGGTTTCGGGGCGAGCAGTTGTGTGTAAAGTGTGAATACTGTGCTGGGTGGACAGACCTCGAGGCAATAAAAAGGCTGTCTTGGCTCCTTCTCTCTTTCTTCTCTCGCAGCTCTAGTCTTCATGATTGCTCTTCTTCATCGATTCTTCATGTTTGTCTAGGTACGCGTATGCTGGCAGTAGTCGTTTTCGGGCAAAATCTCAGTGCTTAGGACGACCCGCTCCTGGGCTTCATGACCCAGCGCTCCTGGCCCTCAGGGAAGGGGACACCCAGCTCAAAGAGCTTGACGAGGGCGTCGGAGAAGTCCTTGAAGAAAACGTCGTTGTCCTTGGCATAAGTCTGGACCCACTTCTTGAAGTTCTTGTCCTGGACGAGAGCAAGGTCGGCGGGAAGCATCATGAGGCTCTTGCTGGTCTTGTCCTCGTACTGGGCGGGACCGTTCCACTTCTTCCACTGCCACTTCTCGTCAACGAGCAGCTTGAAGAAGTCGTTGGTGAAGACGGTGGGGGAGAAAGTCCAAGGGCCGTCATAGCCGCTGCGGTCAGTGTGGGCGCGGCCGAGGGCATGGGCGCCGATGAGGGCTACGATCTCCTGGTCGTTGAAGCCCATGCGGTAGAGACGGCAGCGAGTTGAGACTTTTTCCAGCACCTTTTGGGAGGGAATATGAGGTGCTGGCTGATACCCTTGAGTGGATTTCGCCACTGGAAGCAACGGCACTAGATGATCGGAAGGGGGGGAATACCCATAAAGAGTGGAAAATTATGAGAAACACCTCCCAGGGTTCAGGGACCACGGATCGTTATATATAGTGGAAGGTTTTGCCATATGGGCGTGGGTTTAGACTTAGTATCCTGGGAACAGCCTAACAGGACTCCGGGAGGCCAGGACCGCAGGCACCAGGAGTCCAGGACCTTACGTCTGCGGGAGTCTGGGACTCGTTTCGAGTGATCGTGTATCAACTAAGAGTCACTATAGTGTGCCACAAGGTCTAGTAGTAGTAGTAGTAGTAGTAGTATTTAACGTCGGGGTATCTCTAAGAAGAGCAAAGGACACCTAACTAGTAACGCGTCCGTCTTCGCCAAACAATAGATACAGTGCGCCCACAGTATGCCACGAGGAGTAGTTAGGTGCTTACGCGAACTTTCAACGAGTATAATACTGTGCTGTAAAAATCCTGGGGCGAGTTCCTAACTTCACTCACGTGGCTTGACGTTCTTGACACTTGTCAGAATCTTACAAGTTACATGGAAACGATGGCGGCCCGTTCCCATGCCGAAGTAAGCTCACATACTCTAACTCACGCCCCTGGGCCCTGGTCCTGACTTACAAGTCACGACTAGCCGCGGTCCACCCCCCTACGAAGTGCCAGATACTGGGATATCAGACAGACCTCACGCAGACGTCCTATACGGCAACGGAATAAATCTTCCACGTGGGAACGTGCATTTAACATTCCCACTTCCGCCCCGCCGCCCCGCCGCCCGCCGCCCGCTTGTCTGCATTCAATGTTGTTTACATTTCTACCCTGTTCTGATTACCAATAGTCTTAGAAGAATAGCATCAGCCTCAAATTCTGCCGAAAAGGTTCGACAAGTGTCACAAGTCCCTCCACTGCTGTAGGCACTAGGTAGTGGGGTTTTCCCTCCATCAACAACTTTACGGCCGACCCTGATACCATATCACCCTTTGAGGGTCTCCGGCATAGCTTCATCAGATCCCCCCAATATACCACGCCTTGTCAGTGCCTTCCTCCCCAGCGTCTGCCGTTGTAAATCCGTTACCCCAGTAGCTGAAGCGATTGGGGTAGAGGTACTCCCAGTCGTAGTCCTGCATATTGGTCAGTGTTTGTCGGCACGACAGCCGTACGGGCCCACGGGGATGTGACGGGTAAAGGCTTCATCTCACCTCCCAACGAGGGTTCAGCATGATGTCCAGGCAGTGAAGGCGGCTGCCAGGCCACATCATGATGTTCTCGCCTGTCGGACCAAGTTTGAACCACGAGCTGCAGGGGGCGTCCCAGATGGTCCTCTTCAAGTAGAGGGCCCGGTGTTCCCTGAACTCGGCCACCGCGTCTTTCTTGGGCATGACCGACTTGATATTCTGGGTTTGAAACTTCTGCATAAGCATGGAAATGTTCCTGGTGATACCCTCAAGGGCTGGGATGATCGACCCGTGGCCGTAGGGTCCAAAGGGTCCCAGCATCACTAAAGAACGGGACACTGATTAGACATCTTGACATGTTTAGCACCGGCAGTCCGTGACGGTGTGTATACTCACTGAAATAGTTGGGAAAGTCAGGTGCCATGGTACTCAGGTATGTCTCGGGAGAGTCTTTGAAAGCCTCTCGCAAGTCCAGACCATCCGGTCCGATGATGGGGAACCGGGGCACGTAGGAGGTGTCGAAACCAGTGCCACAGACCAGCACGTCGACTTTGTGTGTTACTCCGTCCGCTGTGATGAGACCTTCCTCGGTGATTTCAGTGATACTAGAAAAGGTCACATTGCACTTGTCGCTCGTTATCGCCTCGAGGTATCCGTTGTTGGGTATCGGCCTCTGTTCAACATTGTCAGCACGTGAGTCCTGTAGCCACAGCAGTCTCGACTCTCGGGGACCGCCAACATACCCTGCAGCCTATGCCAAAGTTTGTGGGAATGAGCTTCTCAGCCAGTTCCGGATAGTCTTTCAGCTTTTTCAACATTTCTTCTCTGGCAAACTGTGAAAGAAAGAAGAAAGAAAAGAAAAAAAAGCGCGAGTTAGCCCCCAAGTCTTCTAGATGTCCGAACATTGCGATTTACCTCGGCTGCGTCGACTTGCTCTTTTGTGCCTTTGACCACCTGTCCCTGCAGTCAGCGAGGTGTCTCTAGAGCAGTTCACTGGGACATTTCTCCAACCATGGCAAAATTCGAGTTCATCTCTCTTTCGACGGCTTTTCGGTAGGCCAGATACTCCTCCGGCCTCTCGACAAAGTTCTTCCTTTGCTCTTCCGTGTCTGTTTTCACTGATTAGTATCGCATGGAAGAAAGGGGTCGAATGGGATCAACTCACATTTGACGTTCCTGCCGCCCTCACCAGCAAACTTGGAAGCGAATCCAGCCGTGACCCAGGTGGGTGACCGCAGGAACAGGTCGATTCCCTTGACCTCTGTAAGAGGAGCCGTCTCGTTAGTTCATGTCTAAATTTCCGGCCCACAGGAGCATGGGAGTAGGCATGTCATCATTCACGTACCGTCAATGGTAGCAGTTACAGTCTGGACAGCGCTGCTGCCGTTTCCGATAACGCCGATTTTCTTGCCGGCGAGCTCGAGGGACTGGTCCCAGGCGGCCGTGTGGACCTTGTTCTTGAACTTCCCGATGCCGGGAATGGCGGGCCATTTCCATTTGCTATGGGAACCAGTTAGCGAAAAGTGTCCACTGTAATCAAATCATGGCAACATGAAGGTATTATTTCATGTTCACTTACTTCAGAACGCCAGTCGCGTTGATCAAAATCTCAGCGTAATCGAAAAAGGCGCTGTCAGGATCGTCATTGGGTTGGATTCTGACCCTCCAGCGAGCCTTGTCTTCCTCCCACCAAGCACCAGTGACGAGATGATTCAATTTCAGATTTGTGTCGAGTTGGTGGTGGGCCACCACGGATTTTAGGTAGGCCAGGATCTCCTTGTTCGTCGCGTAGCTATGATCAAGTGCCGACAGCACAGGTTAGCCGAGTCCTCAGCTTGACGGGCCGCACATGTCATGATGGGCACCCACTAGCTTGACCATTCTGTGTTGGGATGCCATGAGAACTGGTAATTCACTGCCGGCTATGATCAAAGCAAAAAGGAGAAGTGTCAGCATTTGAATGGGAAGACCACGGTATGTCTTTGGAACATGGAGGGACCGGAGGGTGTCCGTACAATATCGCAAGCACAGCCGGGATATCTGTCAAGAAAGCAGCGAGTCAATACTATTGTCCACGTTGGCAAGAAGAACGAGCCAGAAACCTGCGCTGATATACTCACGTGTTCTCAAACCATGTGCCTCCGAGCTCTGGATTCTTATCATAGAACTGCAAAGTGATGTTGTTGTTCTTTGTCTCCTTGCCGAGAATGTACGAAACGTTGATGCCGGAGAATCCGAATCCAATGACAATGGCCTTGATGGGACGCCGATACCCCAAGTAAGTGTCAGGGATGGTATACGAATCAGCAGCATCAACTCCATTCACGCTCCCCTTTGCGTGGGATACACCATTCCCATTGAACGTTGTCGGTTCCTCGACGAAAGGTGCCATTGTAAAATAGCTTGAGGCCAGATGGGGGGGGGGGGGGGGGGGGGGGGGGGGGGGGGGGGGGGGGGCTGTAGACAGTATCACAATCAGTAGCAGAGTGACTTGGGTTCATAAGCGTGTGAAGAGCCGGTACTGGCTGTGGGAGCAAGATTGTCTTGGGGGGGAAGAAGTGGAGGACACGCAATACACACGCAAACACACACAGACATATACAGATATATATATCCATACGATACAAAGAAACAGATATGGGACTAGGGAGAAGGATCCCGTGTCTAATCGCATTCCGTCCGGGTGGCTATCTCGACCGATCTTACAGCGATGGTTAGCCCAGCGGGGTTCGCGAAAAGGTCAGAATAATCTAGCCTGTATCCGGCGGCAAGGATCTTGCCGCATATGCAATGCAACTGATTTCATATCTTTTGGGCAACTCAGGAACCGAGTTCCGATACGATGACTAGACAGTAGCACAGAGAGTCGCGGATTCGTAGTGTTCCAACGGCTCGATTTATAAGAGCATAAAGGTTTCACTTCTATTGTCGTGCGAGGTTCCTACGAAGTGTCTATTGGGTGATTATAAAGAGTGACCGATGGCCATTATCGGATGGGCGGTCGGTAGTAGAACCCCATCTGGGAGGTCACGGAACCACCCAAATATATGTAGGCGACTATGACCCCTGTCATATGCATGTAAGCTGCACTACAAACGGCGTGGCGGTTCCAGGACGCTTTAACCGGATTGGGGACGAGAGGGTGTACGGAGGTCGGAGCCGGGTAGGGTTCTAATAATTCAGCCTTTGACCTTTGTAGTACAATGCATAGTACATATATACTTCGTACCGTACATCCGAGCCCTACGAGCAGTGTAGTCCGTATACAACGTATAAAACCGCGAACCGTTCCCCACCCCTGGACGCCGAAAAGGCGATACTACGTATAGCGCCACGCCCAGCGCCCCACTTATACGGGTTTGTACTAGTATCGTAGCTGGGACCCTGGCTATGTAGGGGTAACGGCTCACGGGACATTAGCGGGGTAGCCTACCGGGGTCAGACTCCTACACGTGTGGTACAAGATTGATACAAGACAAGATCATCTACAGGGTACACACTCTTCGCTAACAGCTTCACCTTGAGTACGAGTATCTTCTATATAATATCGTATCCAACCTGTCAAGCCCGGTCATAACTGCTATAACTCTCTTATTATAGTAACAAAACAAACAAAAAAAGGAAGGAAAGAAAGAAAGAAAGAAGAAGAAGAAGACAAAATGATAAAATGATAGAAGGGCGCTGTATACGACTCGAGCATCCTTGAATTACGTATTCTTACTTATTTGTATTATCGACTCTGGATATAGTGCCGTAGGAGAACTGAAAGGAAAAAGATGAAAGCATCGTATAAGTAATCAACAGTTAACAATTTGTCATTCTTTTTTTCTGTCTTTTAAAAGAAAAACTATAGCTAAAGTCGATGAACTTCCAACAGCAAAACAAGTCAGGAAACCGCCCATCATACACTCTAATCTCAATTTCAAAGTCATTCTCTTAACTAGCAGGTGCCGACAACTTGGCGTCGACCTTCTCAGCCAAGACCGCCACAGACGTCTGAGGGCTCATGATCTCCAGGAACGGGATATCGACGCGGAAGGCAGACCAGAACCAAGACCGGAACTCGGAAGCAATCATACTGTCAACGCCAAAGGAAGGTAGTGGGCTGGTATCGCCAATCTGATCAGTGGCCATCAGGATAAGATTGGAGAAGCGCGACTTGACCAGGCGCAGGATGGCGGCTCCCCTGGTTTCGGCATCGGCCTCGGGCGCAAAGGTGGCGGACAGCGCTGCGGGGATTTCCTTGAACCACGGCGCGGCAGATGCCACCGCGGACGCAGCAGCGCCCTGCTGAGGTGACTCGGAAGCCTCCTTCTCGGCCAGCAGCGAGGCGAGCAGGACCGAGGCACGGGCCTCGACCAGGACTCCGTGGGTGGTCACGTCGAAGCCCTTGGCCGTCAGCTCGCGGATGGCCGCGGGTTCCAGACCCGTGAGCATGTGCGCCTCGCTCATGCTGCGCCTCGGCTCGCTGGACAAGGCGAGGTCGACCACCTGCAGCATTTCCTCCTCGTTGAGCGGCTGGATGCCCTTTCGGAGCAGAAGCGCCTCGATCTCGGGGTTCTCGTGCAGGTAGCCCACCTCGGAGATCATGCCCAGGCCGATGGACACACAGGCCTGGCCGCGGGACCGGCGCCAGTGGGCGAAGGCGTCGAGGAAGCCGTTGGCCGAGCAGTAGTTGCTCTCGGTGGCCGTGCCGACGGTTCCCGACACCGACGACGTGAGCAGGAAGAAGTCGGGCTCGTTCTTCTTGTCCTTGTCGACGTGCACCTGCAGCGCGTTCTGCAGGTTCCAGGTGCCCTGCCACTTGGGCGCGATGCCGGTGTGCCAGGCCTCGTTCGGCATGCGGGTGAAGAGAGCCTCGTGAAGACCCATGGCGGCTTGGATGATACCGCCGATGCGCCGTCCGCTGTTGATACAGGCCTCGACGGAGGCCGTGACGTGCTCGGCCTGGGAGACATCTCCGCGAACGACCTCGACGGTGGCGCCGGCCTCTTCGAGGCGGGTCACGAGCTGTCGTGCGCTGGGCTTGTCGGCGCCGGAACGGCCCAAGAAGACGAAGTGACGGGCTCCGCGCTGCATCATCCATCGACTCAGACTGCGACCTAGGCCACCGAGACATCCGATCATGAGATAGACCTTTTCGGAATCGAAGACGCTCAGGTAGGTAGCAGGCTTGACCTATAGAGAAGAACAAAAACACGTTAGCCCATCATGTCATGTCCTTTCATCACATATTCATGTAGAATGCGACATGGACTTACCGGAACTCGAGAATGCTGGTCCTCCATGGAGATGACAACCTTGCCAACGCGCTCCTTGTCTGCGAAGTAACGGTAGGCCTCTACAACCTGGCTGGCATCGAACACCTTGGTGGGCAGCGGCTGGATGGCATTGGAGCGGTAGAGATCCAGGGTCTCTGCCATGAGCCTATCCCAGATGGCGCGATAGTAGGGGTCCTCGGCATAGTACAGCTCGGACAGATCAAGGGCAGTGAAGGTGGTGTTGCGCAAGAACACGCCCATGTCCAGCTTGCCCACATCGACAAGTTCCCGCTTGCCGAGCTCGACGAAGCGGCCAAAGTTGGCCAGGCAGCGCCAGCTCTCGTGCATCAAGTCACCGACCAGCGAGTTGACAACGACGTCGGCGCCGCGGCCACCGGTGGCCTTCATAATGCCCGGGACAAAGGATGCATCGCGCGAGCTGAAGATGTGGGAGGGCAGGACGCCCAGCTTGTTGATGAGATAGTCGCGCTTGGCCTGGGATCCGACAGTGGTGTAGACCACGGCGCCCAGTCTCTGCGCCAGGGTGATGGCGGCGATGCCGAGGCCGCCGGACCCGGCGTGGATCAAGATGGTCTCGCCGGGTCGCAGCTTCGCACGCTCGTTGAGGGCGTAGAGCGCAGTTCCGTAGACGAGCAGCAGAGTCGGCACGACGCTAAACTCTTCGTGGTCTAGCATCTTCAGCACGGATCGAGCCGGCACGGTCACCGTGGTGCCCAGATGGTGGGGTGCAAACGCGGCCACGCGGTCGCCCACCTGGACATTGTCGACGTCTTTACCGACGGCCGTGACGACACCAGAGAAGTCAAAGGCGGTGGTGTTGCCGCGTCCGTCGAGGCGGCCCGCCATGGCCTGCACATCCTTGGCGTTGAGGCCGACCGCCTTGACTTGAATGTCGACGTGTCCGGCCGCGGGACCCTTGCCCGAGCCCGGCTCCGAAACCTCTTGGAAGTGCAGCGTGTCCATGACGCCGACCCGGTCAATGGCCAGCCTCGCGGAACCGAGCTCGGCAAGAGTCCGCGTCTGCTTCTCCTGCTGCAGCCCAACCCTCTGTCGGAAGAGAGAGTTGACGCCAAAGTCGGGTCCGTACCGGCTCACGTACAAGACGCCGTTCTTCTCGATAAACTCACAGTCATCCTTGTCGTACTTGACCACGAGCGCTTTCAGCGCATTGTCGCACGCCGTGGCAACGTCGAGGGCCTGCAGCTCGCCGACATCGACGACCGACCACCTCAGCGTCGGCTGCTCCAGCATCAGAGAGCGCGAGAGGCCGCTGGAGAGCGTGAGGTTGGGGTCAGGGGAACTGCCCAGCATGTTCGCACCCGTGAGCCAGAGCAAGTCGGTGGCCTTGTCCGTCATGGCACGCAGGCGGTTCATGTTCTGGGGGCTCATGGTCGCAAGGAACTCGGCCTCCGTCTCCAGAAGAGAGACGCAAATGTCCGATTCGGCAATCTTGGTGTTGTCGAGCTGGCTGAGCTTGATGATGCTCACGCGGGAGACACCGGCCTTCTTCTGCAGGTGCGTAGCAAGAGCGTTGGCAAGGTCCGTCACGGCAGGGGAGGCGTTGTCGGCTCGCTTTTTGTTTCCAGAAGTTAGTTGGCGATTCTATGTGCCTCAACGGCCCTATATCACATGCACTCAGGGGTAAGAAGAGGGCTGGGAAGCTGGATACTCACCACAATCAGAGCGTTTCTGCCCGTGAGATCCGTTGTAAGCAGTGGCCGCTTGGCCAACAAGATCTTCTTTCCGACGTCCAGAACCTCGAAGCCAGCGAACTTCAACTCGGCGACGGCGGACTCCGATTTCCGGGTAATAACGACACCATGCTCGGAGACCAGCTCCTCGATATGCCCAGCCATTTCGTCCCAGAACCGTTTCGAAGCAGCGTGCTAATGACAGGAAAAAGTCAGCCATCTAGACGTCAAGAGCCAAAGAGAACATGAAGACCAGGGGGATTTGGCATTGCCCATTGCGTCCCCGAAATCGTCTACAGACACCTGTGCTCGCAGTGGGCTGGGACGTTGGGAGGAACATGAACTTACCGTAGGAACCAGGAGAACGTCAAAAGGACCCTCACCACCCTCGCCTTCGACCGAAACTTTTCCGTCGGCCATAGTGGCAGTATCCCAGGACCGGCATCGTGAGAAGGAGGTGTCCTTGTCCAACATGGACTGCCATTGCTTTGCCTTGTATCCAAAGGCGTCTCCCTCGAGCTCCAAGACGCGCATGCGAGGATTCTTGTGCCCGGCAAGATCGAGAAGCGTGCCGATGATGGCCAAGGTCTCATCATCCCGAACGTCGTCGGGTTGCTGGTCCACAAACTCGGCCACGTACTTCTTCAGGCGAGACTCGGTCTCGGGACGCAGACGAAGGACGTCGGGCTTCCAGCGGACCCTCAGGGTGGGCTCCCGCTGAGCGAACTTGTTGGCGGGATTGTCGCCGTTGGTGGCATCGACGGGGGTGGTCTTGCCGTTGTACAGCGCCATCCGGCCGCCCTTGAAGTCGACCACCGGGACCCCGTGGGAATCCCAAAGCGTGCTGTCAATCTTCCTGCTGGAAAGGCCCGTCTCCTCGGAGCGCGAGTGGATCTCGCATTCGACCTCAAACTGGGAGCCGACCTCGCCGTTGGCATCGGCAACCAGGCCCCCCTGAGGAGGCTGGATTCTGCATTCGCCAATGAAGACGGGAAGCCAAGTCTTGAGAGACGGCATGTGTCCGGCCGTCGTGCTTAGAATGGACGTCTGGAGAACGGCGTCGATGGTAATGGGGTGTACGGGGTAGTACGTGGTGCTCTCCCGGGCGACGGGGGGCTGTAGCCGGGTCACTCCGATGGCTTCGCGCCGACCACGTCCAGCGTCCGTCCGCAGGCTGTTCAGAGACTGGAAGGTCGGGCCGAAGCAAAGGCCTTCCTCGTGCCACTTCTTGTACCACCTGCTGGTGGGCCAGGTGTCGAAGCTATCCGTGCTCTGCAGCTTGACGCCGCTAGAGGCCTTGCGCGGCTCGTCGAGACGGATACTGCCCGTGCAGTGCACCGTCGTGTTTCCGTCCAACCACGAGGAGACGGAAAAGTCGTACCAGTCGACGGAGCGGTTGGCGGTGGAAATCTTGCGCGGGGACATGGTGGTGTGAACCTCCAGGTCCTTCTCGATGGAGAAGATGTCCCTCTCCTCGTCGGGGATGTTGAGGGCGGCGCTGATGTTGACGTTGCGGAACTCAAAGGCGAGCTGGTCTGCCGGCTTCTTCTTGGAGTCGGTGACCTGCAACACGGCCTCGATGGCGATAGCCATGTAGCCGGTGGCAGGGAAGACGATCTGGTCCTCCAGCTTGTGGTCACGGAGCCAGGGCGTCTCGCTCAGGCGCAACAGGTTACGCCACGTATAGTCGATGCCGTTGCCAGTGAGAGCCTGGGTGCCCAGGAGTTCGTGGCGCACGTACTTGCGGCGACGCATCTCGGCACTGGCACGGGGCTCGCTCCAGAGCAGACCCCGCGAGTAGTCCCAAGGGTACGGGGCGAGGTCGTAGAGAGTCCGCAGGCCCGACTCGGGAAGGCTGTTCACGGCATCCCAGTTCAACGTCAGGAGACCGTTGGTGAAGAGGGCACCAGAAAGAGCCTTGAGGCAGAAGTCGGCATCCTTTCCTCTGACGAGCGTTGGCGAGTAGGGAACGGCCTCCTCCTTCAGACCAAGACCGGTCCTGATCTGCTTGATGGGGCCCTTGAGCGCCGCGTGGGGGCCAATCTCAACCAAATGGACGGCTTTCTTTCCTGCGGCTAGCAAGTTGGCGAGGGCGCCGCTGAACTGGACGGGCTGCTCCAGGTTCTCCCTCCAGTAGGCCGGGAAGTAGGTCTGGCTGTCGAGGACCTTGAGGTTCTCGGAACCGTGGCCCACGGACGAAAACATGGTCACGATTCCGGCTTCCGAGGCACTGGCGGCGGTGGGACCGTTGCTGGCGGTGAAGAACGGGGCGAGGAGATCCTCGTACCGCTGGCCGATCTCCTCCATCATGTGAGAGTGATACGCACGTCCGCCGGTCTCCAGCTTGCGGGCGAACTTGTTCTCGCCCTGCAGATGCTCCCTGAGCGCCTCAATGCCGTCCGGCGTGCCGCTGAGCGTCACGCTCTCGGGCGAGTTGACACAAGCCACGCGGACCTGTCCCACCAACCCCTTGTCCTCGATGAGGAGCTTAGCGGCTTCGGGAGCCAAGCCAGCCGCCATCATGGCTCCCTTGGACGTCAGGTCACCAACGGCGAAGCCACGGAAGTAGGCCGCCAAGATGGCTTGCGTGGAGGTGAGGAGACCCGCGGCGTAAGCGGCCGCAATCTCGCCGGACGAGTGGCCGACCACATACGTGGGCTGAACGTTCCAGGTGCGCAGCAGGTCGATAATACCGACTTGGACGGCGGTGCAGATTGGCTGACTCCGGGTGACTTCGTTGATACGGCTCTCGGCCGCATCCAGGAGGATGGTCTGCTCGAGGGTCCAATCCGGGGCGTGACCCTTGGGGAGGGCCTGGAGGACGGCGTCAAGACGGTGAATGGTGTCGCGGAAGTGCTGGCTCTTCAACAGCAGCTCCTTAGCCATGCCGGCGTATTGTGCTCCCTGGCCAGTGAAGACGAAGCCGTATGGTAGCGAATCGGCTGTCGGCTTGGTCAGAGGTCCGTCTGCCATCTCCTCGACGACCTTGCCGCTGGATCCCTCCATCTTGGCCAGAACGAAGCTCCTCTGTCGCATATGATCACGGCCCTTGGTGAGGGTGTGAGCCAGGCTTTGCAGGGTCTTCTCGTCGCCGATCTGTGTCACGGTCTTGGTAATTTGCTGGACGAGAGTCTCCAGGGCCTTGGGTGACGACGCAGACAGGGGCAGCACCACAAGCTTTCCCTCCTCTTGCGTCTCGGAGTCCTCGTTTGCGTGGCCAAAGTTCACCTGGTAGTCTTCGCCGAGATAGCTCTTGGGACATTCGAGGACGACGTGGGCGTTGGCACCACCATAGCCGAACGAGTTGATACTGGCACGGCGTAGCGCTCGCGGCCAGTCTTCGACCTCCTGAGCAACTTTCAAGTTACGCTCCTTCAGAATCACTATGTTGCAAAATATCCATGGTCAGTCGGGGTTTTTCTCAACTGTCTATGTGAAGGTTCTCGTGGCGAATGTCCGAGCGAGGATGAAGAACATTCATGTTGAAACTTACGCTTAGGGTTCAACTTGACGATTCCCTGTGACGGAGGAATCTTGCCCTTTTCAAAGGCTTGCATCACCTTGAGAATGGATGTCAAACCACTGGCACCTTCGCTGTGGCCGACATTGGTTTTGACCTGTCGATTCGCAGGGGGACATCAGTATAAGAACCAGACGTTACATATCGATGGGAAGGACAAGTCAGGGGAAAAAGAAGAAAGAAAAAAAAAAAAAAGGAGATGTTAGGAGCACTCACCGATCCAATCAGCAGAGGAGGTCCCTCACGCGGAGAAAAGCATCTTCCAACAGAATCGACCTCGATAGGATCACCGACATTGGTACCGGTACCGTGGCACTCGACGTAGTCGGTGCCGGTGAAGTCCAGGCCGGCATCAGTATATGCCTTGCGCATGACCACCTCCTGAAGCTTGCCACTCGGAAGTGCGATTCCGGGCGTCCTTCCGCTCCTAAACACGTTGCTCCATGTCAGTGTGTGTTGCTTGCTTGCTGGGACTTGACCAGACGTCTTCGGGGTTGAATGGAAAGGGGATAGATCGCGTCATGGTAAACTAGGGGTGGGGGTAGCGTACGCGTTCACGGCGCTGCCACGGATAACTGCTCTGATGGGGTTCCCATCTCTGAGCGCGGCAGATAGACGCTTGATATAGACGGCGTTGATGCCCTCCGCACGGCCATAGCCGTCGGCCGAGGCGTCAAAGGTGTGGCATGTGCCAGTGGGGGAGAGAACACCGCTCTTTGCGGCAGCAACGTGAAGCTCGGGAGACAGCATCAAGTTGGAGCTGGCTACAATGACGCTCTCGCAGTCACTCGCTTTCATGGCGTTGAGTGCCTGGTGGAGAGCATATATTGACGAAGAACACGCCGTGTCTATGGTAAAGCTAGAGTACAAGACTCGTTAGCACATACTGTCTCTGTTGGTAAAAAGGGGCTAAAGGGGACTGGAACATACCTAGGTCCGTGAAGGTTGAAGATGTGACTGATACGATTCGACATGATGGTGGCACCCGAACCGGTTGAGATGTACCTGTGCAGGTAGTCGGGATCACGAATCATGAGGGGCTGGTAGTCGACGGAAAAGTTGGCAACGTAGACGCCCGTGTTAGAGCCAGACACACTTTCCATGGTCGTGCCGGCGCTCGCAAGACACTCGTACACGACCTCGAGCAGCTTCCGCTGCTGCGGGTCCATGTAGGTGGCTTCGAGGTTGTTGATGCCGAAGAAAGTGTTGTCAAAGTCTCGCACATCCTCGTTGATGAAGTATCCGCCGGGCACGTTGGTGGTACCGCTGCGGCTCACCTTGTCGTAGAAGCCGTCAATGTTGTAACGCTCAGGGGGGATAGGACCCTGCGCGGACTTCTTCTCGACCATAAAGTCCCAGAGAGCAGACGGAGAATGGATATCTCCAGGAAGACGACAAGCTGTCTGCCAGTTAGCATGATGTTACGGTGTTGATGAACCTGACAAAACGTCTTCTCTCGTGGGTTCATGTTGTGTCCATGTCTGGACCAGACATCAACGTATCAGGATATTAACAGAGAGCATGAGAGCATCAACGTACCTGCTCCTACAATGACTGGGGGGTCAATATTGGAAAAGGTCGAGTCGGCATCGCCGCCATACGCCTTGTTTTCCACGCTCACCCGGACCATGTCGCCGGAGCCTGTGGATGCGGCGGACGAGTCCACCACGATAACGTCGGAGCTGGCCATGACTGCTGCTAGTGTTGATGCCGTTGTGTGATAGAGAGATGGTATGGGAGGACAAGTTTGTTGCAGCGTCAGATGACTGTTAATCTTTGACCTTCAAGTTCGTAGTAAAAGTTGGCGATTTGCCATCTACTTATGCTGCGATCACGTCGCTGTCGTCCTTGTTGTCATCTTCGCTTCCCCATTCCTTCGTCCATGCCTCCTTGCACCGTAGGATTCTGATCCTCGGATCTCGTGTCCCCATTCAGTCACCGGTTCGCCACTTTGTGCCGTGCTAGCTTATTTCCCGTGGAGTCTTATCACCATGACCTCGCATTTGCCTGATATCCTTTGTCCCCTCGGTGTCTGAAAGTGAAACCATACCATAAGCGATGTAGGTGCGGCTCAACTTGATTCTCTACGGTAACACGAGATAGACTTACGGCAGCCCTGCCCAGGCTCGGCTATGCCGTGCTGTGCGGCGGAGATGCAGGGTCCCATGAAATCTGAATCTCGGGCAAGTGGGATCGTGCTTTGGACCCTCCATGTCCACATTCAAGTTGAGATATTGGATACAATCTGAGAAGCTATTCTCATTAAGTCCGAGTACGGCATAACCAATCAGGAACCACACGGGAATATGACTAGGATCTTGTGGAAAGATACGATTATACGGCAAGGCGTCTAGTACGCCAAGGGTTGGCTGGTCGCCGGCCGGTATCTCGGAGATCGAGGCTGCTGCACGTCGGCTTTCGGAACATGAAGTCTTCCCACACACCGGAATGTTAGAAGAAAGCATCCCAAAGCTTCCTGAGCACGTTCCAGTGCAGGCTTGGCGGCATTCTGCATCGCGCCAAGGACATCAGTCAGACCAGTCTTTACCCGACGGCATACGTTGTATGCTTATCCGTCCTTGAAGACCATCTCGAAGCATATAATCCGTATCGTTCAGCGCTTCCTTGCTCTTAGACATCAAACCGATCTACCTTCCAAACGCATTCTCTTGGCTAGCATCACCATCCTTGCAACCATGGACATTTCGGGAAACGCATTGGTCGTTGGCGGGGGTGAGTAGGAGGCCTGGCCGCCTGGAGCCCCGGTGGACCATCCCACGGGAGCCCGTCGCTTACAACGTACTCCCTACGCGAGACGCGGAAAAGAGGTGCTTTGCTAATGGAAAACCATCATAGGCAGCGGCATTGGTAGGGCGTGTGCCATCCTCTTTGCGAAAGAAGGCGCCGCCGGAGTTCTGGTTGCCGATGTTAATCTCGAGGCGGCAACTGAGGTCGCAGCCGAGTGCAGAGCTGCGGCTACAAACGAACAGTTCCGTGCCGTGGCGGTCCATGTCGACATTACCCAAGAAGATTCGGTACGAACCGTCATGGCTCTCATGGCCGAGATCTTCGGGCGTATGGAGTACTGCGTGAACTGTGCCGGGGTAAGCGAATTCTCCTCGTCCCTCCCGCTACCTCCGCCGATCCACAGGTCCACCCCCAAGCCACGATCTATACGTAGGCCTGCTTCGGCCCTCTGCCTCCGAAACCCCCCCCCCCATACATGATACCCCCCTAGCTAGGCACTTTGCCTGTGCATACATGTACGTGCTGACTGGTGTCGCCACATGCAAGATCGGGGCCCAAGAGGGTGTCGATATCGCGGGGATTTCATTGGCCGAGTTCCAGAGGTTCCTCGACGTGAACACCACCGGGATGTTCCTGGTAACGCGGGAGGCATCTATCCTCATGCGGGCCCAGGAACCCTTGCCCGTCTCGATCTCTTCGCCTGGCAGGGGTGTCTCGCGCGGCTCCATAGTCAACCTAGGCTCAGGGTGTTCCGTGATCGCCACGCCCGGCATTCTCCCCTACACCACTTCGAAACATGCAGTTCTCGGTTTGTGCAAGAACAGCGGTTAGTCTCCGACGCCACCAACCGGGCTGTAGCCTGCCATGTCCCCACTGCCGTACCTTGCTGACATGCATGATGCATCTGCCCCCTCCCCCCCGCCTCAGCGCTCGATAATGCACCTTATGCCATCAGGGTCAACTGCGTCTGCCCTTCGTGGACTGACACACCCATTGTTCGGCGAGCCATGGACGGCGTGGAAGGTCTGGCTAAGCTCATCGAAGCTGCCGTTCCCATTGGCCGGATGGCATTGCCGGAGGAAGTTGCGGATGCCGTTATCTTTCTGAGCAGCCCGAGATCTAGCTATGTGACTGGCTGCGGCTTCATCATCGATGGCGGCACCACTGTTACCGCAATGCGATAGAAGGAGTCCAGATTGTTTCTCGGTTCAACGTGGGTAGCTAGGCGGCAGTTGTCTTCGAGGGTTACAAATGTCGTAGCGGCTGGGCCAGAGGGGGTGCACTACACAGGTAAGACAAGCTAGGGAAGCAGATTCAAGAATACACGTCCATCTTCGCCTCTTTTTGCCGCGTCCGCTTAACAGCCGAAGCAAAGATTAGACGGCCATCTATTCTCTTAGGATGGAAAGTATCTGGGTATATATATTAAAGAAAACATGGGGAAAAAAGGAAGAAAAAAGGAAGAACCAAAAGGATAAAAAAGATCTCCTCAGTGAGTTAAATTTAAATAATCACTAGTCTCGATATATGTCGACCCTGCCCTCCAGAGTACCAGCAAGGCATTGCCCATCAGTAGGCATCAGTAGGACTAAAATAAACATGGTCATATGTAACTATCATCTATTTTCTCTACATGTACGCAAGAATCTACTGAGTCAGGCGAGCATCCTTGTTAGTCCGAGCGGCATGAGCCTGCTTCAACTTGGCCAAGTCAAACATCTTCCATAGCATGGAGTCCTGACGAGCGTCAGTAAGGCTGAAAATGGCATCGAAGCGGTGATAGTCGCAACATACCCAAATGGTGCGCCAACCAAACGTATCAAGGAAGCGAATCATGCCGGTGTGGCTGCCGTACCAGTACCATGCTGGCGTGGACGCTTTCAGGCTCTGCGCAACAACGTTGGTCGCGTACTGGAAGCGATCGGTGGCGCCCACTTTATCGTTTATTAGCCATTTCTGGTCTTCTTAAACCACATGGAAATACTGGACTCTAACCCCCAGTGCCCTTTGTAATGACTGGGGATTCTTACCGGCCGTTCGTGTGACGTGTTGTCTGAAGTTCTCCGCGAGGGGGGCATAGTAGGATCCTGACCACAGTCACATTTAGACACGATCAAGCAGGGAAGCGCATCAAAGCATCACACTTACCTTCCGGGAGCTGTCTATGGGCATCGTTCTTCAGAATATTGGTACTGACTTCTCCGGAGATGACCTATGAGAAATTGGAAGTAAGTTCACTACCCCTAATCTTGGACTGTCTCATTTGATGGAATCAGACATACCGTGATGACCCTGACACTGAATGGGAAGTGTATCATATTAGTGACGTATCTCCCTACGATTGGATAGGTAATATAGGCATACTTCAATGGGGCCATTTCAACACGCAAAGTACTGGACCAGTGTTGGAGGGCCGCCTTTGTGGCATTGTAGGAAGCTGGTTGGTTTCATGTTATTAGCACAGTGACCTCCACGGACAAGTCGCAGAATAGCGTATTTTGATATCGACTTACATCCGTACAAATAGGGAATGACACCGCCAATGGAACCAATGTTCACTATGCATCCTTCGCTTTTAATGAGCATGTCGTGAAAGTGATGCACCATGCGCATTGGCCCGAAGACATTGACCTCGAACATGCGCTTCACGGCAGCAACGTCAGTGTCGATGGCGGTCATGGTGTAAGCTATACCACTGCAAGTCGAAGCTGTCAATAACGGCCGCCTCTGTTACTTGGGGAACTCTGGGCATCATGAGCCGGCACGCACGCGCAGTTCACCAGGACATCAAGATGGCCCCCGGTCAACTTGTTGATGCTGGCCTTCAGGTCCTCGACGGATTTTTCGGCGGTGACATCGAGCGGGAAGACGGTGATTCCAGCGTTGGTAAGGTGGTCACTGGATTCCTGAGGAAGAACCGTGGCAATGGCGTGGAGGCCGCGGCGGGTATACTCGGTGACCAGCGCCTCGCCGATTCCACCTTGGCCGCATCTACACCAGGGTTTAGTAGCTGTTTCGCTTGGTGGCTTGGGACGTTCAGTATAATCACCCTGTGACGAGAGCAAATCGCGTGCGCGCCATCCTGGAGTAGAGCAATGGGAAGAAGTTTCGAGGTCAGGACTCAGGAGGCCAGTAGATTAGAGTGGGGCAGCAGTTGGCCTTTGTCGATCGAGGTTATTTGTGTCTTCAAACAATGCGAAAAAAGGGGAGGAAAAAAGAGAAAAATAGATTATGGGACCAAAAGACAGGTTTGCTCTGGTATAGACGCTGTCTTACAGAAACAAAGAAGAAAAAAAAGCATACAAGAAGGGGGCCGAGGGGCCCGCGATCGCCGAGGCTAATCGCCGTCCCATCGGAAGAACTAGACTAACCCAATGCAACCTGCAGGATGCTCTCGGCTCTCGCTTGTACGTTGTGGTGCAACAACGTAGTTGCATCCAAAAGACCCTGATCTTGTCCCCCTCGGAGTCTTCCCTGATGATGGACGACGGGGAATGAGGTGGGGATTAGGGGGGTGGCTCGAGAGATACATCGGTTGCGGATCCACGGGGTACGTTGTGCCGGGGCGAAGCTGATCCCTGTCTTCTGTTGAGCCGTGCCGCCTTCTAATGATTACTATGCATGCGAATAAGCATGCATGTGTACAAAAGTACACCACTACAACGTACACTACCTTACCGTAAAAACTCAATCGATACAACGAACAACTATTATCTTAGCGATCGATCTACTCCACCTAGCCCCAAAACTAGCCAATGTATAATAGAGCTTTTACAAGGTACCTCAGCCCTAATATTAAGTGGGTCTTGAAAAGGGTGTTGAGTGGAGGGTTGTCGGATATGTGGGAAAACGTCGATATCAGGGGCGGGCGCTATCCCTAAAGGGGTTATAGTTGTTGGTTGTATCGGTTGAGTTTTTACGGTACTTGCGTTGTACATCGATCGACTCGACTTACTGAAAAGGGAAATGGCAAGGTTCCAGCCCTGGCCCGCCGATCCCCCGCTTCTTATCTTAGTGTTCCACGAAGCGGGCCGCGCTGTCGGGAGCGAAGCACGGATAACAGAGCTGATTACGTACATATGTGGAGAAAAGAAAGTACAATGTACATGCTATGCGTAGCTATATCGGAATAGGACTAATAGGACGTATCAAGGGGGAAAGAGTGTGGACCGCAGATACAACGTACATACAACGTACAGTCGACATGCACCAGCCGCTCTACGTTGCAGCACGAGCTAGGTCCGACCGTCCGTCAAGGGTGAGTGGAGTGTAGAACGAACCACAAATCCTACCCCACAGGTAAGGCGTCGGCATGGGTATCCGTACGATCCGGGGGAATGGTAAAAACTTGCCTGAATTGAGTGGAAATGTCTTACCCACAGATATGAAATGACAACAAGGATCTTGTGTTCCAGGCCCATGCAGCAACAAGCTTATCCAGTGGGAAACATGAAGGCACTGCAACGCTGTGCTACGACTTCAGTGGCGTCTGGTGGGTGACAACCGTGAGCCGAGGTCGATATCCCGTCATCCGAAAACGACATGAGGAACCGAGTAGCCCTATTATGGGGGGACGTCATTCAGGCAGAACTACTCCGTCGCTGGTATGTACGCATAGCCTTGTACCTAAGACACGATCAAGCTTGGCATATGCAAAAACCCTTGTGCTGTCTGTCTGTTTTCCGCATGCCCACGGAGCTGATCTACGCGCCTGGCTGAATTGGTCAATTGGATGGGTCGGGTTCAATTGGAAGCTTGAGCTCCTTAGACGTACGTGTTAGCTTTAGGAGGAGTATCAGTAACCATGTATGTATCAGTAGATGTCAGTTCCCTGTGGACGTGGGGTAAAACAATGCCGGAGGAAGGTGAATTCAATTCATTGAAGTATCTAGTTGGGGGTCATGCGATATTACGTTATCACATGCCATGCTACACAGTGCACCATCAAGGACATAACCATGGAACATGATATCGTTCGCTTGAAATCAAACATGAAATCAACGTGTAGACTCTCTAGTGTGCTTGATAGCCTGGCGGCACAAATACAGAAATCGGAAAGCAGCCATTCCATCAAAGTTGAAACCATGTCGGGCAGTTAGCCTGTAGTATTGACCATCAACGTCTGGTCATATCCGCTACAATCTTGGAAGCCCCAGCAAAGTTCAGTTCCTCCATCGTCTCTTCCCACAACTTTTCGTCAAACTCCCTGCCTTCCTCTGTGTACCAAACCAACGGGTATCTGTTCCATCAAATGTCAGCCACCAAATCTTGCTTCACAGTATTTCGAGGCGGTTGACCAATACGTACGGCTTGAGAGTCCAGTCACTGACGAAGCTCCCGTGGCTTCCTTTCCCGCGAGCGACCGCCGCGTCGAGATACGTAGTAGCACCGACATCTACTCCTCTGGCAAAGAGAAACTGAAGGACGCCCACCATCATCCCGGACAGAGTAGAGAACTCGCGGAAGAAAGACGTGCCCTTGGTGGTGCCGGGGTTCACCATGTTGACAAGTACCTCATCGGGATCGACGTGCTCCGCCAGCTTGGCGGCGAAGAAGGTGAGCAGCAGCTTAGATCTGCCGTACCAAAGGAACTGATCGTAGCCCTCGGGCGTATCGAACTGCTGCATCGTCGGGCCCTTCGTTTGGATGTCCACCCGGTAGGCCAAGTCGGACCCCACGATGCTGAGCACAGGGGGCCTTGCGGCGCCGGGGACCTTTTTCGATCGGAGAACGGGGAGGAGCAGGATGGAGAGAAGCGCGGTCGAGAGGTAATTGACCTGCACCGAAATCTCGTGGTCCGTAGAGGGCACGGTCGTGTACGTCGACTTCATCAGCGCCGCGTTGAGGACGGTCATGTCAATGCGTGGGAGGGATTTGCACTGCTCCACAAACGCTTGAATCGAATCGTAGGACTGCATGTCGATGATCCAAACGGAAATGTCGGCGGCCGGGAACTCCTTGCGCAATTGGTTGGCGGCCTCGTCGCCCTTGGCTTGGGATCGCACACCCATGATCAGGTGGGACAGTCCGAATCCCAGAAACTGCCGACATGAGGCGAGTCCGATTCCTGTGTTGGCCCCAGTGACGATGGCAGTTTGGCCCGTAAGTTTAGTATCTGCCCGTATGGGTTTCGGTTTTGTGAACTGCCGGACAAAAAAGCCGAAGAGCGTGGCCTCAAAGGCCGCATGGCTTTGGAGTTCGGATGACATGATTTCTTCACTCGTGATGTCGAACGATTGACAAGAATCAAGATCTCAACCAAACAGAAAAAAAAAACAAAAAAACCATCGGGGGCGCAGGAGATATTATATCAATACATGTACCAACCGCAAGTGGGTCTCGCATCCTCCTCACATTGCCTGCATATATTCCCCCGCCCCTGCTTCCTCGCTACATCGCTGTATTGCGGCTGTACACCCGGCCGCTGGGAGGGCTACTGGGCCCTTCTTTTGCATATCTCCACCATTTGATTCTGCTTCTTCTCCTTCTTCTTGGTCACAAGTCATTTCTTCAGGAGTACTGTGTTAATTCCTTTTTCCCCGGTCTCAGTGGGTACATGTACATACACGCTTCTGAGTACCTGATTCGTATTTAGACACATATTTCCAGTCTCCCTGCATATGCATCCTCGCTTATCACTCAAGCTGCATTCATTTGCCCCCCTGATACACTAATGCGAATAGATAGCTTTTGGAGAAGCAAGGTAAACAACAAGGAGCAACATGGCTATTTTATCGCGACAAGGGCTCGCTGGGCAGAGAAAGATCTAATTCTAGAATTAAGAAAGGAAGGAAACTAGATAGACACTCTGACGTCTTCAGGAGACTGCCGTCTTACCATCTAGATGTCTAGCCAGATATTAGTTCCTTAGGTCTCCTTCATGGGTACTCGGTAGGAATGCCGTTGTTGTAACTGAACACCTCGAGCGGGTCCCACTCCTTCTTCAACGCCGCCAAGTGAGGAAGCTTGTCCGCGCCATAGATTTGCTCCAACTTCTCGTCGCCATGCGCGTAGCTGACGAAGACGGTGAGCTCAGGGAACCCGGAAGTAGCCACGAGGTCGTCACGGAGCTCCAGACCGAGAGCAGTAGAGGCCGCTGCCGTCTCTTCCTCTGCGGCGTCATAAATGATGTTGAAGTTACTGCATGTGAGGGAGGGATATGTCAGCTCTTGCGCCAGGGCGTGCTCCTTTTCTTTAGGGGACAGATATCTTCTCACATGTATCCAGTTGTATCTCTCCAGGGGAAGGCTGTATAATTCTGGGGGAAGGCCTCCATGGCTTGGTTGGGGAAGAATTCAAACTGCAGCACGCTGTTGCGGCCGGCAGGGTACTCCATGAAGTAGTCGTGCATCTTGTTGAACGATTCGACGTACGTCTCTGCCGCGTAGTTCTTCAGGTTGAAGCTGTAGAGGTCACGGTTGATGTTATGGATGCAGATTTCTTCGACGACACCGCCAAACGCGGCTCCCACCATTTCGTTCCATGGAACTGACATCATGGCGGTGACTTCAATATCAAGCGCCAGAATCGGCGCCAAGGCGGCGAGAGCGTCGGCCTCGCGTCCCTTGTAAACCCAGTGCACCAGGGTTTGGGTCTAGGCGCTGGTATGAGCATTGAGGTTATTCTAGGCAAGGGGGGGGGGGGGGGGGGGGGGGGGGCGTTTGGCAAGAAACAAACATACCGCATTCGTGACGGGATTGGAAGTAATCAGCATAATGGACGAAAGTTCCGCAGGCAGCGGCTGCATCGCTTCCAAAGTGTGGAAGTATTCGGGGCTGCCTTCGGCTGAAACAATGAACTCGGCGATAAAGGTATCTCCATCCTCGGTCAGCGGGTGAAGCTTGTAGGTGGCAGAGGTGATGATGCCAAAGTTGGAACCGGCTCCGCGGATGCCCCAGAAAAGATCAGGGTACGAATCCTCCGAGACCTCGATGATATCTCCGTGGGCGGTGACCATGCGCACGGAAACAAGCGCATCTGCGATCAGACCATAGACACCCTGGTACCGACCAACACCGCCGCCGAGCGTGACGCCGATGAGACTCGGACAAGGGGCACTGCCGGTTTCTATAGATCGATCCTTTTCTTAGCTATCCGTGTAGTACCAGTCGCGCTGTGAGTTCAATTCTATTGCGAAAAGGAGACTTACGAATGTCGAACCCGGCGTTGAATAGGGGGTCGAAAACTTCACCCACAGTCACGCCGGGTCCAACGGTGAGCGTTTCGGCCGTGGTGTCGAGCTCGAACGAGTTGAGCTGGCTGAGGTCGATAGCTAGACCATTCTGAAGGTCTCCGAGGGTGGTGGTGTATCCGTGACGACCCGAGGTAGCGAGGAAAGGGATGTTGCGGCAGGTCGCAAGTTTTACCTGTAGTATGATTAGCTCTCTCTCTCTCTCTCTCTCTCTTTTTTTTTTTTTTTGTTTTTAGTACAGGCCTTTTTGATTTAATTCTTGTGCATTGGAGGATTCTGTTGCTGTGTACGGAGTGCTAACAGCCGCACGTATTCTGTTTGCTGCTATGAGCGACTTTTTCCCTCGGAAAGTCTTCTGACGTACAATCTTGGCCACGTCTTCCTCTGTGGCGGGACTAATGGCAGCGCGGTAGGTCGGGGCACTAAACGTGGTCCATCGCTCGGTGCTCTGCTCAAACTCTTGGGAGCCAGGGAAGGAGACGTAGGTGTCGGGTGACCATTGGCGATCCGGGTGCATGAGAAGAGGGGCGAGGTTGGTGCGGGCGTAGATAGGGGCAGCAGCAGCGTCAGCTCCGCAGGACAAAAGAGAAAGCGAGAGAATCAGGGAGGCCCGGAGGCTCGGGACGCTCCCGCTCAGATGAGAGACGCGGCCCATTTTCAACACAACTGTGACGAAGGAGCTTCAATGTCGAAGAACCAATTTGATTTAGTCTTCGGGATGTAAACTCCTCTGACGAGCAGCGAGCGACCTGCTGCTCGGCTTTATATATATATGTATGCCTCTGGCGCCACGAATCCTTCCAATTTCAGGGGCTGCTGAGGAACCCCTCTGCAATGACGAGGCACGATCGAGCGAGTCAAGGCTGCTGCCTCCTGACCTTGACCCTTGGCTGTGACAGAAAGAGAAAACCGAAAATGAGAGTAAGCTATACCGTTGTAAACGAGGGGTGGAGTTTCTGCATCTCTAGCTCGGTACAGACTAACCATATTCAGATCCACGACGCAGCGGCTGGGCACACTATCACACACACGCACGGCCGAAGAGGTGGCGTGCCGCGTGGAGACGGCTCGTAGAACTCCACCTAAACATGGCGATGCAAGGTACATGTACCTATTAATTAAGGCAGCCAGCTGAAATACACGTGTACACTACAGCGCGGCAGCATCCGAGGATGGGCGGAGCGTCAACCGTCAGCTTGTCTGAAACTTGCGACCTATGGGGGCTTACCTTGGGAATTCCAGCACTACATTGTACACACGTCGATGTAATTATAGTACGCTGTAGCATGCCCAGCCCTCGTGTCGCCCCTGCATGCTACATGTAGTCATGCAGGCTCATTCAAACCACCCACAAGCGAAAACGTCGCTTCTGCAACCACGACGGTCCCGACTCCCGACTCTCTCAACATGCCCTCCGGTACATACAAGGTAAGGTACATGTACGCTATGTCCGCCCCACCTGTTTACACATGTCCATATAGGATCACCGAGTGGATAATGTTTGGGTGCTCCATTGGACACGTGTCTAATGGGTCGGGTCATTCGTTGAAGGTACTTGATTGTCTAAGGCAATTGAGAGCATTGATCGTCGGAATACAAAAAGATCCTGGCAGTGAACATTCCAATCCTTGTGTTTCCCCATATAAAGAGCCCTGCAACCATGTTTCTCCTCGTACCGTCCCCAGTTCATAGGGCAATGAGCCTAAATGCCTTGCACCTAAAGCCTGGTACCGCTTGAACACCAAGTCGTGTGCAAGTGCTCCCAATACACTACACCGATTTCTTGGTGCCATTGCCGTCGGCTCTCGGCTCCATGTCGTACTCTGGGTAAGTTGCCTTGTATCTACCACGCGAGCAAGTTAGTTTCAGTTAAAGCAGCATTACGGGACAAGATGCCAGTGGCCACTTTACCCCAGCAAAAAGCCTCCAATGATGTGCCCCGCCACGTATTGAGCGAACACCAGGATCCATATTGGCACCCAGAAAGGGGGACAGATGAAAATGGTATCGCTGCTCCAGCCAAACAGAGCCATTTGGAAGATGGAGGGCGCTATATTCTGCTGCGCACAATCTCGAACATATCCCAGGGCGTTACGTAAGTAGTTCTCATCGAAGCCATGGTCGACATCTGGGGGTTCGGCCCAAACGTGAAAGATGAGATCTTGCTTGATGGGAGTATGGGGCCAGAATCGATGCCTGTCTCTCCGTTTAGACAGCAAGGTCTACCAGGGGCACAGAGTCCCGTGACTCACCGAGTACCTGGAGGGATGACGAGGATCCCATCCTCTTTTCTCAGTACGCCCTTTTTCTCGTTTCTGACAACTCCCAATTCGCCTTGCAGGACCCGGAAGTACTCGGTCTGTCGTAAATGGATATGCCTAGTTGGTGCAACAAGTTAGAAGACGTTGTCGGTGGTCAAGGTACAGAAAAAAAAAAGAAAAAAAAAGG